TGGCAGTGGCTGACCCAGCTTCCCGGTGCACTTGGAGCACGACCTCCCCAGGGAGCCGGGGGCTCCCTCTTCCTGCCTCCCCACACCCGGGACTGAGCAGGTCCCAGCGTGGGCAGGAGATTCAAGACACCGCAAGGCGCCCAGAACTCAACCTCTGCCCAAGAACCAAGGGGTGACCTGGGTCGGGAGAGGGCAGGGGGCGTTCAGTCGCACGCAGGGTGCGATCCCCTAACGATTTCTAGACCGCTCGCTCAAGACCTCCAGGGGCAGGGAAGGACACCCAAAGGGTTCCTACTGCAGGGGAGAGCTGTAGACTCGCAATCCTCCCTCTACCCTGCGACCACGAGCAGCCTGGGCTTAAACACCAGTTAAGCCTTTAGGTAATCGTGTGACCCCGCGCCAGTAGCAGGCTTTTTTGAATTTGAATCTCGTTTTCTCATCTGTGAAATGGGAGAACAATAGCTGCGGTTCTCGTAACTTCCGAATAATCAGAAGAGCTTAGGTAGCTGAAAATTCCGGAGGCTTAAGGTGCTGCGCGAAACAGGATTTTGTCCTCTTCCCAGAAGAATTCAAAGTTCAAGGCTGAGGCCGCTCTGGCTCTCAGGTGAGGGGGAAGGGCCGGCCACGGGTCAGGAAGACCCGTGCTTTCCCACCTCGATCCTGCGGGAAGGCAGGGAATTGTTCCCACCTGGGGCGGACGCCGATAGCACGCGGGACCCTACGGATTAGAGCGTGGGGTCCTCCCTCAGGGGGCCTGACGTCACCGCCGCCTCGTGACGTCACGCTGGGCGCCCCTGAGATCACCGGGCTGCAGCGCAGACAAAGAGCCGTGGTGCCTCTGGCCTCGACCCTCCCACGGCGGCGTGCCCTATCCCCCACCCGCCGTCCCACGCTCCCCCCGGGCCGCACCTGAGGAACTCTTGCAGGCAGGTGTCGCAGAAGCGGTGGCCGCAGGTAGAAACCTGCACGGGCTCGCGCATGGGCTTCCCGCACAGCGGACACAGCAGCCGCCGCTTGGGCTTCTCCAGGAACTT